AGCTGATGCTTCTCGATCATAGAAGCTCGATGTGCTGTGGAGCGTAGTCAAGAAGCTGTCGAGAAGAGTCAAAGCCCTGGAAACAGAACAGCGCAAGGACTCTGACTAAGAAGATGTCGGAGAAGGGAGCCACTGGCCTGCATCCACCACAGTCAGCGAGAAGGGTCTCCTGAACCTGATCGGTTGGCCGCAAGTCTGCAGACCTGACATTTGTTGTGCAGGAACTTGGCTGCATTATCTTGATAAACGAAAGGTGGCTGCCGGACATCCGTGACCACTTCCAAACTCTGGATGTTCTGGCTGGATGAGATCCGTTTGCATCCGGTTGTCGTCCCTCCACCGCACTCTTGCCCAGGCTCCGCAGCTTGGATGCGAGGACCTGCCGCGCCGCTCCCAGAGCCTCTGGATCGGCCATGGTTGTTCGTGCCACAGATGGAACCGAAACTCTGTTGAAGCATGCACCCAGTCCTGAGCCCAAAGCCAAGTTGCCTCGACTTCCTGTGCCCCTCGCCATTTGCCAGCTTCAAGACTTCATGCTGGACCCGCACCTTGATCTTTCTCATGAACAAAAATGACTGAGCTTTCAATTTCGTTTGCATGCCAAGCTATCATGCAAGCGCGAAGAGCACTTGTGGCGTTACTTGACCAGTGGTCGCCAATGGAAATGGAGTGACAACGAGCCATCGGAGCCGGAGCATAAGAGCGGTACTGCACCTTAGGCCTCTATGCTTTTGGAGGCAATGCTCCGAACGTGTCTAAAGCTTCGTGGATGAAAGAAGCATGCACGGCAACCAACCGTTTCCTGAGACATCGCTGTACTTCCATAGCCGTCCTGCCGAATCCACGAATCGGACTGCATCGCGACATGCAAAACATGGTTGGGAAATTGAACCTTGCTATCACTCTTGGAAATTTCATTGGAGGCAGAGTTTGGATTGAAGACGATGAAGGAACTTCAATGGAAAAACTGAGCAAAAACAACAAAGTTTGTGAGCTCAAAGGCTCATGGGTTGACATTCATGACAAGTCTGTGTCTTTCAACGCACGACGCTTTCATAATATTGAGCAACATGAAGGTCATATGTGGGCGCTAGCAGCATATACGCCGCAATTTCGACGCTGCTCCGATGAAGTTTGTTTGCAACTGGAAGAACTCGGATTTCCGCTACGCAATCGAAAGAAGAAGTAATAAAAGTAGTAAGAGTAGTAAGAGTAGTAAACGTAGTAAATGTAGCAAAAAATAGTAAGAGTAGTAAGAGTAGTAAGGGTAGTAGTAGTAGTAGTAGTAGTAGTAGTAGTAGTAGTAGTAGTAGTAGTAGTAGTAGTAGTAGTAAGAGTAGTAAGAGTAGTAAGAGTAGTAAGAGTAGTAAGAGTAGTAAGAGTAGTAAGAGTAGTAAGAGTAGTAAGAGTCGTAAGAGTAGTAAGAGTAGTAAGAGTAGCAAGAGTAGTAAGAGTAGTAAAAGTAGTAAGAGTAGTAAGACTGGTAAGAGTGGAAAGAGTAGTAAGAGTAGTAAAAGTAGTAATTGTAGTAAAAGTAGTAAGAGTAGTAAGAGTAGCAAGAGTAGTGGTTGACAGAAGGATGACCTTTGCCAGGCTTACCTGCGACTTTGCCTTTGGATCCTTTGCCAACCTGCTGTTGAGACACAGCCTGAAAGGTTTGAGCCTTCCGGTTTTGGTTGCGGTAAGGGTTAGGTCAAAAGAAACCTGATTCCCTGTGTTGCAATTGTTTGCATTGCCCCGTTAGACGGCACAATGGCGAACACCGAGCAACAAATCCAAGCATTAGCTAGTCAAGTGCAGCAGTTGACAGCCCAGCTCACCTCACAGCAGCAGGAGCTGAGCAACACTCGAGCTGCATTAGAACAGCAAGCCCAGGCGACCAACGCCGCTCTGACAGTGGCGCAGTCGGCCGTGTCCCAGTTGACAGCCACGACGCAGTCAACAGCGTCTGCGGAACCCAAACGCAGGCCGCTGAATCCCAAGTTTACCGGCAGTGATTCTGATTGGGAGCGATTCAAATTCGGTTTCACGTCGTGGATCGGTACTGTCGATCCTGAATATCCCGACCTTCTCAAGGTAGCCGCCGCGCAAACAGACGAGATCAATCCTGCCGAGATGATTTCACCTGCGAAAGGGTTGTGCGCAGACCTGTTTGCCATTTTGGTAGGCTTGTGCCAATCCGGCGAGATCCCAGCCATGGCGATGCTTGTGCCAGACAGGAATGGGTTCGAATTGTGGCGCCGCATGCATGCCCGTTTCGAGCCCGAAAATAAACACAAGCCTTACGCGTGGCTCCGGGCACTTTCTAACCCCGTCTTCCCGAACAAGGAATCACAATGTCAGCGAGGCCTTGAAGAGTGGGAAGGCGAAGTTGCCAATTACGAACGTGAATACAAGAAAACGTTTGATGAAGATCTGAAGCTCGCCATCCTGTCCGAAGTCGCTCCCAAGACACTTGCCCCTCAGATTGCCATGCATTCTGCCCACCTTACTACCTATAAGACGCTCCGTGAGTTTATTGTGCAATACCTGAAGTCCAAGAACCTCTGGAAGCGTGGTGCCGGCACTGCTTTCGGCACACAGTCTGCATCACCAGCAGCTCCATACCAGGGTGCAAGCAGTAAGGGCGATGGCAAGGGCAAGGATAAGGGCAAAGCTGAGGCCAGCAATGCCAACCCCTCCAAGGCACCTCCGTGTGCAATCTGTGGTCCCGAAAAAGGGAAGAACCACACCACTGAAGCGTGCCACTTCAATGTCCGCAGCTTTCCGAAAGGAGACAGCAAGGGCAAGCGCGCATCGACACCAGGTTCAACTAACATCAGCGCGGTCGAAGGGACAGCGTCTGACAACAGCGACCTGTCCAGCACCATTGCGTCCTTGCAGCAGCAACTTGCAGCTCTTCGGCTCAGCGGCGCATCCTCAGTGAGTGCCTCGTCCACGTCGTCTGCCAACGTCGGCCGCAAAGGCCAAGCAACCCAGGGCGCTATTTCACAAACGGAACAACCCATGTTGTTTGCAGTGGTTGAGGCCGAGGTTGCCGAAGCTGTCTGTTCCACGGTGCACGCCGCTACAAGCTGTGCCAGCACAAAGCATTTTCCCAATGCCACAGTCGACGCATCAAAACGCAAGCAGTTGTGGGCCATCAGCGGAACGCCCATACTGCAGCAGGGCGAGCTTGCAGCTGACACCACCCTCTCAGCAACTACTGCCGACGGAGAGGGCGTGGAAATTCCTGCTAAGTTCCGTCTCGACTCTACAAACATAACCGAACCGGTGATGGCTTTCTGTCGCATCTTAGATGACGCCGATTGTGACATGCACTTCTACCGCTCATCCTCCGGCAAGCCGGCGCACATCGAAACACCGGACGGTCACAACATCGTCCTGCCCCGGTTTGGGTCCCGGTTCTACATGCCGTTTGAGGATCGCACATCCAGTGCTTCGCATCCAGCTTTCGTTGCATTGCAACACCACGAGGACCTCGAGGATGATGCGTCCGCCGGTCCCGTTGAAGAGCATGGCAGCGTCGATGTTGACTTGGATCGCCAACCTGGGTCACCCCAACCACGTCATCTCCCCGCACCCGTGGCGCCTAATTACAGATGACGAGCGAGCGTTGCACAACCTCACCCATGCCGATTTCGCGCCGTGGTGCCGCTATTGCATTACTGGCAAGGCACCTGAGTCTGGACACCATCGGCAAGTCAAGCACGAAGATGCCCAGGTGCCAGTCTTGCAGTTTGATTATCAGTTTTTCGGCCGCGACGGTCAGCTCGTTGAAGAAGAAAGCCGTACAGATAAACTTACGGCCACGGACACTTCATCCGGATGGCCACTGATGGTCCGATGGTGTAAAAGGCCCAGGCTCGTATGTTGTCAAAGCGATTGTGTCATGGATAAAGCGTCTGGGGTATGCCAAAGTTACGTTTCAACACGACCAAGAGTCTTCATGACGAAGTGTAGCCGAGCAAGTCCAGCGCGAACTCGGGCATGCTCATGTGCACAACCAGGCAGCACCACGCTACAGCCATGCAAGCCAGGGCGGTGCAGAAAACACGAACCGGTTGATGGCTGGAATGCTGCGCACATGGTTGTCCACATTGAACGCACACTTTCCTCATCCGCAAGAGCCTATAGACATCAACCACCCAGTAGTTCCTTGGTTGTGCCGCTGGTGTGCATTCGTCTGGGCTCGGTACCATGATGTACCATGTGAGAGCTGACAAGCTCACACCATTCCGCATTGTGACTGGCCGGGAGTATAGGACCGCGATCGTCCAATTTGGCGAAGTTGTGCTAGCCAAGGATCCCAACATTAAGGCCATTAGCAAAGCTAAACCACGTTGGTTCAAGGGTTTGTTCGTAGGGCGTCTCGAGCTTGATGATTCCGCAGTTGCGTTTACGGATGCAGGTGCCATCACCGTTCGACGACTGCCGGAAGACGATCAACATGATGTCAACTTTCTTGATGCGGCATGTGGTTTGCCATGGGCACCTGCAGGCAAACGCGCCAAGGTCCGAGCTGAAACCAACCGCACGTGGTATGACGCCAGACAGTTCGCATCGCATGACGATGAATCCCCCAACACCACCATCGCCATTTGCGGAGGAAGTGCTTTTGCGAGCGTCCCCTTTTCGAGGTTCCGGGTCCATGCAAATTGCCCGTGAGGTGGCAACACCCGCCGGCATCAATGCCGTCCCACTATGTCCCACTGCCAAGTCCACCAGTAAGTGTCGAGAAACGCTCGGTGCCTGTAGCGTCAGAGCCTGCAGCCGCAACTGCGGAGTCGTCACCCAAAGTCCCGAAAGTAGGAAGCATGTCTTGTGCATTGCACCAGATCCAAGATTGGGCACGCGATGGCTAATGGGAGCAAAAATTATCGTCCGCGCTTGAATTGCTTGACACACGGTTAGACCCTCGAGAAGTCGAGAAGGTCAGGGATGTCCAGATGGCAACGCTAGTCGAGAAGAATTTCGCTAAACCAAGGTTGAGAACAGACATGCCGCGGAAAGCGAAGCTTTTCAATTTTACATGGGTGGATGAAATCAAACGTGGAGTATATCGTTCGCGTTTCACTTGTGCGGACATAACGAAGAAGTACTCCAAAGAGGAACTGGCTGAAAAAACCAACACGTTCGCACCCACTCCGTATGTTCTCGAGCTCAAATGCCTCCTCAATGGGTGGCACTCCCACTCCGGAGACGTCAGGTGTGCATGTCTCTTCTTAGGCACCGATTCGGGAGACAGTAACGGTCAACCAGTGTTCATGCGCATGCCTCCCGAATACCTGCCTCATTTTTATGCTTTGTTGGATACCCAAGACTCCGAGACGAAAGCATTGTACATGTCGGTAGATCCGTTGAAAGAAGTAGTTCTGGAACTTGTGGGAAACCTGTACGGCAGGCGGCCTGCTGGGAGTAACTACCGAAAAGAGTGTGAAGAAGTTGTCACGCATGGTTTGGTCAGCAAGGGGTATCAGTTCATTCGTGGCACCCGTGACCCGACAGTATACACCTGTTGCAAAATTGACGCAATGCTGTTGCACCACGTTGACGACACTTGTTTATGGGCGTCAGACAAAGACTTAGAGTTCCTACAGTCAGACGAAGGTTTAGGCAAATACCTCGACATGAAGAACGGTGTCATCGAGACACCAGGCACCAAAGTCAACGTTCTAGGCCATTTTAGGCCGAACAAAGTTGCGAACCCAAGATGCGTTCTTCACACTCCCTGACCCCAAACATCGCGAAAACGTGCTTACGTTGCTTGACCTCTGGCACGCAAAGCCATCGAGAGTCGAAGGTGAGCGGACGCAGCGCACGGAGAGCAACACGCAACTGATCGACGAACAGCGTTGTGTTGGCACAATACTTGTTGCATAAGCCCGACCTTGCCAGGGTCACTTGTCGTAATGCCGAAAGCAAAGCCTCCGGCGTTCTGACTGTTGGGGTGGTTGCCTTGACTCTCGCGGTTCCACTGATTGTAGCTTGGTCAATGTTGGGGGCACTGTCGTCATCGCTCATCCGCAAACGCAGGCGGGCACTCCCGCATCATCTTCCGGTGAAGCGGAGACCCGTGCATTGAGTCGAGGGGCGCGCAACGTCATGTTCATCAAACAGTTGGCCGCGGAGGATTTCCGCTTGAGACTAGGTCAACCTCGGTTGTGGACAGATGCAACCACGGCACTGCAAACCGCCAAGCGTCTAGGTGCCGGGAGCAAAATGCGTCATATCGAGTTTGCCGCATTGTATGTCCAAGAAGTGGTCCATCAAAAGTTAGTCAAGGTGGGAAATGTTTTCGGTGAGTTGAATCCGGCCAATTGCCTCACGAAGCATATGAGCACTGTCCTGAAAGAGCGATGCGTATCTGATCTAGGCATGGCGGACATGAGCAACTCCGATCCGTGCACCGTGTTGCGAGATGCGGCTGAGATACAGCTTGTAGCATTTGTAGCTTCGCTTGTGTCCGAGCGTACTCACAGACAGAGGCTGACACCGTGGAAACCAAATCTTGTTGTTATCGTTGATGCAATACAGATTTGTGCGGCTCATTTGTGCCGTCAGCGTCCCATCGCCTAAGGGTTCTCTCCGGCTCAGGTCTTTGAGGGAAGTATCGCCGCATTCAGGCCTCAGTGCCTTTGAGCGCTAACGACCTTCAAAACTTTTGCTCACTGACGTTGTGTCGTCACCACCCGGAAATTGTCTTCGGCTGTTCCAGCCCCAGCCTTCCAGGGGCGTGCCAGCGTTTACGAAGCGTCCTCATGTATAAACGCTGTAGCTTGAGTATGCTTGAGTGTTGTACATGTACCACGAACCACATCAGGAAAACCATGACCACATGCATGTGACCGGTGTAGCCTTTCAGGTCCTAGCCAACGGAAAAAGTGAAGAAGTGAGCCCAATACGTCCCAGCGTTTGCCCCGCGCGCACCAAAACGCATGGGAATCCAAGTCATGCTTCTTCACGTCCCGGCAGGCGCCGAAGGTGTAATAATCAGTCCGTTGATGTTTGCTTCACGGGTTATTGTCCGGACCACTGTTTCAATCGGCGTTGTTGTGCATGCGACACGGATCCACGCACACGCCAACATACGCCAACAATCGTTTTCCACGACTGGTCCTCCTCATGTCTTTTTGCGTGAGGCATTTGTTGACACAACGTCTGCCCACACATTGCCCGCATTTGTGCGAGGCTCGGCTGAGTCTCTCCGTGTTGCAACGGCGCCGTCTGCTCAGGAAAACGCCTGCGGTCCCCGGCGTCCGCGCCAACGCGGCGGGAACCGACCTACGTGCATCTGGAACGCCGCCGGGGAGGAGCCGCCCGGCATCGCCGCCCTTGGCTCTGACCCTGACGCGCCAGTCTGGGTTGGTGACTGGTCGCTGCCTCCTGAGCGCCAAGGGCTCACAGTCCTCGGTTCCCCGCTCGGGCATGATCGATTTGTCGCCTTGCAGCTGCAACGCAAGCGGGAGGAACACAACAAGCTGCTGCAGCGCCTCCCTCAACTCGAGGACTTGCAGGCCGCGTGGCTGTTACTGCACTCCTGCGCCTCCCCTCGCGCCAACTACTTGCTGCGAGTACTGCCCCCGCACCTCACCGCCTCCTTCGCCGAGGCACACGATGACGCAATCGCGCACTGCCTCGCCGACTTGCTTGAACGAGGGGACGCGCCGATCCCCGCTACCAGCCTCACGACAGCCCGGCTGCCTTCTCGACTCGGAGGCCTTGGGCTGCGGTCCGCTGTCGCTGACCGCCACACCGCGCATTGGGCATCGTGGTGCGACACACTGCCCGTCATCCGCCGCCGGGCCGCTGCCGCAGCTGACCGCCTCCTCAGCGCGCTGCAAGGCGATGTCCCACTCCCGTGCGCTGCTGCCGCGGCACAGGCTCGGGCCCGCGTCTGTGACAACGGCTACGACGCACCAGCATGGTCCGCTGTTAGTGGAGGAGCCGAGGCACCCCCTGCTCGGGGACGAGGTGAGGAGCCAGCCGACCCTCTCCGCGGCTGGCAACGGGTCGCTGCCCGAGCTAGCGATGAGCGCATCTGCGAGTTGCATCTTTCTAACCTTCCCCCTGCATCTCGCGCATTGCTGCTGTCGCAAGCTGGGCCTTTTGCGGCCCGCGCCATCACCGCCTTGCCGACGCGGTACGATCTCACCCTCCCCAGTGCCCTGTTCCGGGTGCTGCTCCTCCGGCGCCTGCGCCTGCCCTTGCCACTCGCGCCTCGCCACTGCCGCTGCCATGGACTGCTCGACCCGCTTGGCGACCACCGGTCCGCGTGCGCCACATCCGGCGTGCTTGCTAGCCGAGCTCTCCCGCTCGAGCACGCTGTCGCCCGAGTTTGCCGCGAGGCTGGGGCGCGGGTCGCGAGGAATGTGCGCCTCGCCGACATGAACCTCGACGCGCCAGTCGGTGATGAAAGGCGCATCGAGGTCGTCGCCAACGGCCTCCCTCTCTGGCACGGCTCCCAGCTCGCACTCGACGCCACCATCGTCTCCCCGCTTACAAGGCGAGGCGAAGCCCATCCGCGAGCCGATGTGCAGCCGGGCTATGCAGTCGAGGCTGCCGCCAGGCGTAAACGCCGGGACACCTACCCCGAGCTCGCCCGGGCAAGCCGGTGCCGACTCGTTGTAGTTGGTGTCGAGGTTGGAGGCAGGTTCGGCGCTGAGGCTGCCCAGTTGCTCCGGCTCCTGGCGCGCCAGCGAGCCGAAGCCGTCCCTGCCCACCTCCGCCCGACCGCCATCAACGCCTGGGTAGCGCGCTGGTCTGGCCTCCTTGCAGTCGCCGCGCAGCGAGCGTACGCTGCCTCGCTGCTTGAACTCCCTCCTGCTGCCGAGCTCAGCGAGGGCACTGAGCCCGACCTGCATGAGGTCCTCGCTGACGCCAGGTGGCTCCAGGAGGTCCCGGCAAGCCGCTTGCCCCCACGCTAGCTGCAGTGTGGTGCCTTGAGTGCACCCTCTTCAGTGGTAGGCAACGGTAGGTCCTCAAACTACTCTAGGTCGACCGGACACGTTCTGCCGTTGCAAAAAGGTGCGCCGAAAAAAAAAAAAAAAAAAAAGTTTGGCGCTTCTGAACGCAAATCGCTTGTGGTCGCCGGACGGCCCACCCTTCTTGCCATAGCCTTTCCATGACCTTTGATGCTCCTGCCGTGGAATGTGCATGCTTGCACGAGCCTTGGGCGCCGGTAGGAGCTTCTTTGCGCGTGCACATGTGGTACGACGGTCCTATGGGCATTGGCGTTTGCGAAGCAAGCTTTCCAATTCATCAGTCGTGTGTTTCGTGGCCACTTGACGTAAATCCATCATCTCATCGCATTCGGTCGCGTTGTCTTGCATCGTCTAAGACCGATCCTGCTTTATTGCTGTGTAGTTTCTATGCTCCACATGTTGGCATGCCATTGGCTCAGCGTGTCGACTTTCGGGCTCGACTACAAACCGCTGTCGAGCCGGCACTTCGCCAGTATCCGGGCGCACATTTTGTTCTTGCAGGTGACTGCAAGACCATCTGCCAAGCTTGAATGGTTGTTTCTGGTGTCGCAGGAAGTGCAACATCCGGTCAACTTTCCATAGCCATTACAGGCCTAGAACTGCAATGTGTATTCGTTTGAGCTTAAGGGGCTGGAACGTGAGCGCTCGTGTGAGCCTCAAGTTCGTGAACTCGTGCGTGCATTGTGCCAAGATTTCGGCCTGAGCATCTCCAACCTTCATTGGAATTCCTACACATAGGTCTGGTTCGTGCCTCGACGTGGTGCTCGCATCACATTCCTTTTGTGTTGAGGATTTCGTAGTCCATGACGGGGACAGTTGCGGGCGTCCACAGGGTTCTTCTCATCCAGCAGTTGGCAGCGATCAGAAGCTCATCACGTTCCGAATTGGAGTATCGCAGGCCCCCACTTCTGCTCGGCAGTCTCGGCCCTTGTTAGACATTGGCGTCCGGTTATTCAAGGGTTACGGCCGGCACTGCTGCAATGGGCGTTGAGGTTGCTGCAATTGCGGCAAGACCAATTTCCATCTCTGCCGGAGCGTCGAGCGTTGTATGGTGAGTTTGTAACGTTGGTTTGGCAAGGAACTGAACGTTTCACATTCCGACGCTGTGGTGTCAACCGTCGCCCTCAGCCGGATTGGTGGGATGATGAATGTTTTGACCAACTGGTCTCCCGCAATGCTGCATGGCGGAGGTGGCGGCGCGAAGGAACTGCCAGTGCGCATGAAGCTTTCCGGCAGAAGAGACTGCAACTTCATCATATGGTTCTTCGGAAAAAAATCCTTGCTTTTGGTCGTCATGGCTCAGCGCGCCAACATGTGTGGCTTTCAAACCCACCTGCGAATGGCTAGCCTGTGCCAACTGTGCAGGGTAGTGCCCGATCCTGATCCCTCCGACATCATTAACCGTGTAGCTGCTCTGCGGCGTGACATGCTCACTCTGTTCGGTCAGCTGCACTTTCCATTCACCGAAGTTGAATAACACACCTTCTATGCATTCGTTGATGTGCGAGAAGCCTTCGATGTAGCTTGGAGGGACGTCGTCTTTCTCAAACTTTTAGAGTTCGGGAAGAAAAACGATTACGGTTCTCTGTGGTCCGTCGTCACGGACTTGAGCGACACATGCGCACGGGTAGTGGTCGATGGCTCCACCGGCTCACCTCTTCGCTCTGGACGGAATCTGCCGGCGTTCGCCAGGGCAGCGTCCTAGCATGTCCGATGCCCGTTGCTATTCAACATTCTGTTTAATGGCATCGCGGATGCCGTTTGTGCCGTGTGCCCGGGCGTATCGTTGAGCACCGCCCGCTATGCCTCAAATGCCCCTCGTGTGGCTCTCTTGCCTTATGCTAACGACTTGGTAATCTTGGTTGCGGATGCCGGTCAGCTCCAGAGAGGGGCTTGGGGTTCCCAGTGGCTTTGTATTTCGGCATAGGCCCCGAGAAGTCAGCTGTCATGGTTGTCGGTTCCAGGTCGATTGATTATCGTTTCATGCTTCAAGGCTCTGTGCTGCCTTATGTGCGCGAGTACACGTATCTGGGCGTGACGTTTGAGGCATCGCGCAAGTGGCATGGGCATGCAGCTCGTCTAATGGACACCGGCAATCATAGGTTCCACCAATTCCTGGGTTGGGCTGAGAATCGCCGATTAAACACAGGCTTCCGTAGCCAAAAGTAGCTTGTTTGGACCAAAAGCTTCGCCAAAGGGGACATCGTTTGCTGCACTGGCCCAGCGGTGCACTGAGTGCCGTTCTGGGTGAACTCGGCTGGTTGCCTTACGTGTTTGAAGTGCAGCCAGCGATTGCATTTAGGTATCCCCGGACGCTTGGCTACTGCTGATGCCCTTGGTGGGCGCATGGTTGCGGAATGCTGGTATACCACTCCCCCGTTCCTGGAGCCTGGTGCCTGGCGGGGATGCGAGGCAGGTAGCGCATTGGAGCCGGCATGCCGTGCGACCGGTGTTGCTGCATCGTGCTCACACGCAGTATCGTGGCGAATTGATGGCAATGCCGTCCTTCGCCGACTATGCTGTGATTCAGCTTCATCCAACAACATTCATTTCTCGCGGCTCCCGTCGTCCTTGCTTCGGGAGTGGACGTCAGGGCTCATCATCCCTGTCAGGATGGCAGCATTGCCCAGCACGCACAGCGGCATGGTCCCAACTGCCTCTGCGGTGCTCCTCGTAACACGGTCCTGCATGCCATTCGCGTGTGTCCGCTGTCTGACACTCAGCGCCACACCTGGTTGGAACGCTTAAGCTTACAAAGTGTGCCTCAGCTTGGTGATGCTGAGTTGCTGAGGTGAATGCTTGATCTTCTTCTCGTCCCAAACACTCATTTTGCTGCCAGTGCCCATGTGCATTATGTGGCAGCAATATGTCAAACCGCCAAATCCTTGTGCGAAGGCTTGTTGACCGGATTGCCCGGATTCTTATCGCTGAGGCGTTTTCGCTTCTGCGTTAAATTTATATGTCTAGTGAATCCTAATTCTGCCGGTCAATGGACCAGGCGCTCTTTTCCTAAGTATATACTGACCGTAAACGGTTGTTTAAAGACCGACCATCCTCGGTGCCACGATGTATTCCGGAGGGCATTGAAGCAATCTTAGCGGCCATGAATACAGTCCCGGCCGCACGATCGCAGATCGGAAGCAGCATCAAACAGTGTCCACGGTTGAATTGTTTGCAAGACGTAGCATTTTTCATTCATGCCACTGTGTGGGGAGCTTCGGTGCATTGTTACGCGTCAGCGCGTGTCAGCACACGAGCCTTCGTGTGGAAGTTGCACGGATTACTTCCCAAGCCGCTGCCAAATGTCACCGAAACCTGCTCTACGTAGCGGAAGCGCCCGAGCTGGAGGATGATGCCCTGGTCACAGCGCGGCTGGCGCTCGTTGGGCTTCGTGGCAGGATGCAGTGCCCAGGCTACTTCAGCGTTCCCCAGATGATGCGGTGCGGCCGCAAGATAGCCTCCTTGCACCGCATGCGGGCATGCCACCCGCTCTGACGCGCGGCCGCAGCTCGAGTGTGCGACACATGAGTTCAATGCTTTCCAGTACATGCGGATGGCATGCACTTGCGTGGCGGTGAGCCCGCTCCGGACATGCCTTTCGCACTTCAACTCTTGGAACGAGCGCGATTGCAGCTTCCTCCAAGATCTCGTCCACCTTGGAGGAACACCCCGACCGTTCGCGGCAGCAGCAGGTTGATCACGTCTTGGCGAAGCATCGTGTCCGTAGCATGCAATCGTCGTGCAGCGAGCTTGGCCGAGCATGGCCTGCCTTGCAGGAAGCAGGGCCGACTGAAGGGCCCAGCTTGGGATAATGGTGGGCGTTAGAGCCCACCCTCACACCCTGAGCGTGCCAGACATTTGGTCCTTGTGTGTATAGCATGATTTCGGCATCTTCGAAGTGACTGCATGCTGAACGGCATGCGATCGTGAGCCCACGCAAATGTCTTGTACCTTGTCGTTACGTTGGCCGCACAGTAGCAGAGCATGCCTACTAACGTCTACATGACATTGGGTAGCAGGATGCAGATCACCAACTAAGGATTTCGGTAGGGCGCATGAACGTATCTTCTCGGTATAGGCTTTGATTCAACCATGTTTCCATCCCAGGAGTCGACCAGAGCAGCGATGTTGAACACAGGGCAGAACGCCGACTCGTGTAAAACATGCGTTCATGAAGCGCAGCTCCGTGCCATGGTGTCAGTTTCGTCCTTGCAGTGTTTCCAGAAAGCTTTTGGCGAGCCTGCAGTGAGAGGGCTGCGCGATGTGTTCAAACACAAAGCTTGCAGCCTCGCTGCGATTGGTTTGAACCATTGCGTGGTGTAGAATTCATGCTGGATTGGCGGAACGTTGTGAACTTGCCAGGTACCACCGCATTCAATGCCAACAAACTCCAGCATTTTTTGAGCTTGGGAGAGATGTCACCGCAAGTGGCTCCGTGCAAGCCTCGGCCAGAAACCGAAAAAGACGTCACAGCCTCAGTTGTGACAGCACTGTCAAAACATGCAGCACGTAGGGCTCAATGTTTACAACCCATGCCCGCCAGCTTTGTTGACGCAGTATGAACTTTGGCGTTGAAGCCGTCGTCCCTAAGCCAGAAGAAACCATGCAGAGCCAATGCGTGCATCCCTAAACCCGAAGCCATTGCATCTATTGAGGATATTTTGGACTTTCTCGCCAAGATGGCGTTGCATGCCCCGGAGGTTTGGTTCTCCGTCATTACAGGCTTGGAGTGTCCGCCAGAGGCGAAGAACGATTGGGCCAACATTGGTGTTGCTTTTGATGCAAGTTCCCGGCTTCGGCGTGCTGGCATCGAGTATTACCATGCCCTTCTTGCAGAAAGTCAGCGTGCTGGAGAAACCGGGGGGCTTCCACTCTGCTACTTCGAGCGGCTCGCTGCTGATGCGCGAGTTGATTCTACCACCAAGCAGGTTCTTAGTCGTCCCAAGTCGTTCCATGTTCGCGTTGTGGCTGTCAGTGACACGCACCTCCTCCACGACAGCTTGGAGATTCCTGATGGTGACTTGCTGGTGCATGCTGGAGATCTGAGTTACGAAGAGTCGCGATCCAAAGATGCACGTGATGTGGATAGTAAGTGGGATGAGTTTAACGGCGATTTTAGCAGATTCCTGGAATGGTTCAAGTCATCTGAGTTGGATGCTGCACGAGCTTTGCGATGGCTTGGCACTGTATCAGAGTTCGAGCACAGAGTACTAGTTGGTGGAAATCACGATTATGTGCTGGAGCGGATCGGGGATGCCAATGCAATCGAGCTTTGTCAGAATTTCAACCTTCATTACCTTTGCACCACGGCGGAACCGGAGGAGCTGAGATTCCGAAGTGGATGCAGATTAGCAGTCTGGGGCTGCTTGGTTGTCAATGTGCTTGCAGGCGACCGCCGGCCACTGCCATAGACCCTGAACGACTGTACACCAAAGCACCAATCGGTGCGGGACAGTCCCAACCCGAAGCCCGAACCCTTAATCTTTAACATCCTTGGAGACTAAACCGTAGAACCGTATAGTTCTAAACCCTGAACCTGAAACCCTAAACCCCGATAGCCTTAATCATCCAGTTGCAGTCGGGTAGAAGACAATAGCCCTGGCCTTTCACAGATGTTTACTTGGATTTGGGTTCTGGCTTGGGTGAATGGGGCTATGCGAGTCTAGTAGGGCATATATAGAACTACCCCAATTAGGGTACTTACAAGTTTGTTTACGAGCTACTTGCTACCTTTCTCTTGATATTGCAAGTCGGTTTGATGATTTCGGATATGTTGTCGTACTTGTGGGTGCACCAGGAAAAAAGCTTGCAGCAAGCAGGCTTGCAAGAGCGGGTGCAACCACCTCGCTATTACTTGGGCATTCAGCTTAACACAATAGAGCACATGTGCGACTTTGCTGAGGATCAGGGGTGTCAGCTACGTCGAAGCTGGGTCAGGGCCGCGCAGTTCTTTCCGGAAACATGGCATTTCAGCTGGATAAAGACAGCGGTGAGACAGAGTTCCGTGAGATGACTGCGAAGCTTCCGGCAGGTTCAGTCGATGTCATGATCACCCATGGGCCGCCTTGTGGGGTGCTTTATGGGGCCTCTGGGAAGACTTTCCCCTCGTGCATCAATGACCTGATTTCGAGAGTGCGACCGAAGCTTTTCATCTGCGGCCATGCTCACAATCCTGACAACATGAAAGCCGGCCAGAAAGCCGTCGACCTCGGCGAAGGAGTGTTGGGAATAAATGCTGCATGCACAGGCACATGGAATCAGCTCTCAGGTATGCCATTTGTGGTGGACCTTCCAGTCCCATATCGAGACAAGGTGACGCAGTCGGCAGGCCGACCGCCATGGAGGGAAACACTTTGCTCAGCTGAGGTGTGCAAAGTGTCGTAACATGATGGAGCAAGCTGCAGGGGGTTTGATACCCTTCTTTTCTCTGCAACATCCTTCGACACTGCTGCCGCCGCTGCCGCTGCTGCAGATGCCGCATGGCACACCTTGTCCGTGTGGGCTGACCTCCTAAGCAGGGCGCGACAAGTCATGTTTTTGTGGTGCCGCATAAGCAGGTTGTCCCAACTCTAGCAAGCAGAAAGGTAGGTGGCTTCCGCATGTTACGTCACATGAGTGGTTTCACACTTTTCATCATAACCGTTGTTCTAGTACGCTATACTTATTCCTCTCTTGTCTTTCTTGCTACTATTACTACCATTGGTTAGCAGGGTCGCAAAGAAGCTAGCGAGTGCCCACCCCAAGCGGCACCACCACGGAAACAGAACAGTGCGCGGCATGAATCAAAATACGGACGGTGCTGTGCGGTCGTTTTTTGTGTTCTGCTCTCATGATCTCTCAAAGAGGGTAGGTCGTTGCTGGCTTGTGCATTCTGTTCGCGACTTCCGCAGTGCAAGTGCTTGCATCAAGCTGTACTAACCCTGCAGTTTGTTGGAAATGGACGTGAAGTCGTGGCTTGGCTTTTGGCATTGGGCACACAATGGATGCAAGCCGAACGGCAGCATCACTCTGAAAGAAGAGGAAGATGGACAGCGCACTCTTCACACAACTTTCAGCCCAGGTGTGGGCACCTGGTGGCCACATGACCAGCAAGCTTCGTCTATAGAACTCGAGTGGCGGTCAAAGGGTGGCAGCCTCGTCCGGCACACTCTCAAGGCAAACCCCACTGAGATCAGAATCGGCGCAGGCCTTTCCGGATTTCGTGTCGTGGCACGTCACCGCCCAAGTTGCAGCACCCTGACGGAGGCTGGAGCGGCTGGCGGCAAGGACGGGGGTCTCTCCTGGGTACCCGACTCGCGGACGATCCGGACATGCGGCTGGCGCGAGAGGCTTGGCACGAGTGCCACGGCTCTTCGTGTCAGCTCGAAACTGACATCGGCCAAGAAGTATCTCTGTCACGAGGATCCGCCGAACAGTGGATTCTACGACTCTCTCTGCCCCAACTGCCGGCGTCCTTTGAACCTCGCACTCGGCGGGGAGCTGTTGACGGTAACCTCGCCACTCACGGAGGCAAAAAGCTACGAGTGCAAGGAGGGGGCTGAAGGCTACTGCAGCCCTTGCCCCACTTGCAGGAGGCCCATAAGCATCTCCAAGGTGTCTGGGCCTCTTCCCAGTCAGGCTCCCTTCTTCCATCGACCTTCTGTCGGCACGTGGCTGCAGCCGCGCCCTGGCAAGGCTTTGGCTTCCAAGCGCTCAAGGTGGGAGTTTCCGAACATAGGGGTCCTCTAATATAGTATCCTAAAGAGTAGGATCCTTGTCATAAGGACCCCAAAATCAGGTACCCCTAATTCTCGGAAACTTCCAGGTGTGCGTATGCCACCCTGCTGTACGGCACTTCAGTGGAGTATGTTCGTGACGCCCGGGTCTTGGGCTTCTCGCTGCGGAAGTCCGGAACCCCTCACGACCTGGTCCTTCTCCATACGAGTGATGTTCCGCCAGAGTATCTGGAGATTCTTGGATGCCTTTGGACCCTGCGTCCTGTGGATAGGATCGATGCTGCAAGCACTCTCTTCACACCTCACAGCCGCTTCCGTGGGGTCTTCACAAAGCTGCATGCTTGGGGGCTCATCGAGTACGAACGCATCATTCTCTTGGACCTGGACCTGCTGGTGCAAGAGAATGTTGACAGCCTCTTCGATTTGCAGCCACCGGCAGCAATGTGGGCAGCAGGCGGACAAGTCCACGGACGACATATCGTCGCTCCTCATCCCTTCAAGGGTTATCACAACGTGGAGCCCTGGGGCAAGGCCGGCTGCGTGCAGTTCTCAGTCGTTCTGCTGCTTGAGAGGCCGGTTTCTGGTTTCGAGCGAATGCCAGCATCTAGCTCATCCGCAAATATCCGTTGTTTCGCGATGATGAACACTTGTCAAAGTCCTGCTAAAGTAAAGGCAAGACTTCCGTGCATGGAGCTCAGGTCAACGCTGGTGTGATTCTTCTGGAGCCGAATCTCACCGAGTTCGGGGATATGAAACAGGAAGTGGAATGCCGAGAGCATCCCGAGCACATCGTGACCACTTCACCTGAACAGGACTACCTCACACGGTTTTTCTGGCACACGCCCCACTGGACCCACATTGATGTGTCTTACAACTTCCAGCTGCATCACCTGGCCCTGCGGCTGCCTGACAGCCAGAAGGAGTGTGAGCGCCGCCAGCTCCGGTTCGAAGACATCCGCATCCTCCATTTCTCAGCCCACCCGAAACCCTCGCAGCGCGAACCCGACGTATCGGTCGAGGCCTTCGTGGAACAGGCGATGGCGAAGTACGAGGGTGTGCAAATCTACGTCCGCCACGATCCCGAAGCCATCGAGAGGCGCAGTGATCCTTAAGACTACCTGGTTATAGTTAGTACTAAAGTCAAGCACATTAGCAACAAAGGATAAAAAGGCTTAGCAAAGAGAGAGAGAGAGAGAGAGAGAGAGAGAGAGAGAGAGAGAGAGAGATAGAGACGACTTCATAATTCCGATAAGTTGTTCAATCGGGTGGAACTCCATATCGAGAGGCGCAACCGCAGCGGCAAGTTCCCGAAGCTGGAGTTGCGCAGCTCGGGCTCGCTCTCTGAGACGGGCACGAGGCTCTTTGAGGAGTGCCGGGCTCTGGCGGAGGAGACCGAGAGCTCGGAGGGGGGGAAGGATTTGTTCAAGGAAGTCACGGTTTCTTCCGGGGAGTTCCAGCGAGTCCGGGAGGTCTGCCTACGATCCTTTCAGGCTTGGAGTGAGGCGGAGAAGCAGTGCAAAGAGCGCTTCGGAGCCCCGGAACTTTTGGAATCCTTCCCGGCGAAGCTGGGGAGTCAGTTGCAGGGAACCTGTGTGGAATGGAACCGTGCGAGAGGCATGGGGTGGATCCGGCCGGATGATGGGAGCAAGCTCATCTTCGTGCACTTCAACGGCTTAGCGGAGACCCCGGGAGTGGGGCGAACGGGGCGAGCGCAGCTGGAAGAAGGACAGCTAGTCTCCTTTTCCGTCGGATTGGATGACAAGGGGCGCCGTACGGCAGTAGATGTCAAGGCATCGGATGCACAGATTGACCAGAGGCCTCTGGCAGAAGAGGGTCGGGAAGAAGGGTCGCAGCCAGCCTTTCAGGAGCGAGTTCGTGGAAAATGCAAGGCCTGGGAGGTGCGGAAGAAGTATGGATTTGTTTCTTATGTTGATGGTGGCCAAGAGAAGGTGATCTTCCTGCACCAGGAGGATTTGCTGGTGGATGCCAAGGAGTGCAAAGGAGTGCCTGCTTTGAAAGTTGGCCAAATGGTGCAGTTCACACCCACCAAGGAAGAGAAGGATCCGGCAAAGTTGAGGGCCAGGTTCGCGACTTGCACAGAAGACGACAACGAGCTTGTGTGCGAGGTCCAAGCCTTTGCTGCATCGGATGCTGGGACGAAACGCTTCCCTCCGGGGACGCCATGGAGACGAAAGTTGCTACATCAGGTGGCTGGTTCCTTGGGCTTCTTCACAAGATCCGAAGGTGAGGAGCCAAATCGCTGCGTTTGCATTTCCAAGACCGAGGAAGAAGGTCCTGGCGACTCGCAGCAGAAGGTCTTGAGGCTCCAGGCTCGCATCGAGGAGGTCGCAAAGATGCAGGGCCAGAGCGATTGGCATTTCCTCCTCGGCGATCTGACCGGCCACGAGCGGGAGCAGCTGAGCGACTTCTGCAAGCTGCGTGGTCTGCTTTTGTGCCGACGGGAGGCGCAGAATGCCAAGCAATGCCAGCATTTTGTTTGTAGGGAGCCTGCAGCAGCTGTGCTGTTTACTTGTTAGTGGCTGCTAGTGACAGGTGAATTCGAAAGCATCTGGGGAAGGATCTCACTCCCAGCATCCTTGCCAATTCGCCTTTGGACGTCCCTAAACCGAACCTACTACTGTTGATGATATAAATCCTGCATTACCTTAAGGGCCCTAAACTATGGTAATTATGGTATATTCCTTATTATGGGTAATGCAGGATTTATATCATGAACCGTATAGCTGATATGTTCCCTGACAGTGACAGCCAGAAAGGCATGATGACAAAGACAGCGGCAGCTGTGAGCATTTGGGTTTTGCCATGTTCCCTAGACCCCAAAGTTCTTGATATCTTGCGCTTCTCATCTCCGTGCAGTCCATTATGGCTCTTGACAAGATGTGATGGTTCAGACAATCAGAGAGCACCTGGCCAATAGGATCCTTGTTATCAGGACCCCTGTCGCGAAACATGGATTCGAAGTCTGAACTTGACCCGCCGCATGGGCTATGCTGCTAGGCTCTTTGAGTGTAGCTGCTTCGTAAGTCAGACGAACCTATTAACCGTATTTCGTAGGATGGTCGCATGTAGCCGGAGCCGAATGTCATGCAAGAGCTACGAGCTTAAGCCTTAGCCAATGCGTGTTCAGTGCTACGTTTGAGATCGATACATGGCCTGTGATTGATGATCCAGAGACTGCCAACGCATGGTGGGCATGTTCGCCTGCGCCACCTCGTTGTCCTTGCGTTGCCACTGATGCTTGGCTGTGAAGGTTGTATATTCCCGAGCGCAACGACAAACCTGCGATACCCAAGTTGCAGACTTCTGCGACAACTCCTGTGGCCGGGTTGCAAAGTTCGTTTACACACGACCCCGAAGTACAGTCACACCAGCATCCAATAGTTGCCATCTCCAAGCCGAAGCCAAGCGGTTCTTCTGGACAGACAAGGACGGATTCGGCCTCAGCCACAACAACTTTGCCGGTGCTGCCCTGAGCTGCGCGCGCCTATGAGCGTTGTATTGCCGGCACGACATAGTAGTTCCCTTCTTGACCGTTCTTGCAGGATACAACTTTGCGGGACTTCCGCCCAAGGAGGTCCAGGGTTTGATGAAAGTTCAAAGGAACGGCTCGACCCGCCAAGTCCGTAGGCGAGAATCCAGGAGACTTAGTGAGGGATCCTGAGGGAACCGCTCCTAGAGCTCGAAACCTCCACATCTCAATCAAGCCGAGCCGCAACCCTCAGAACCTTCGCCTGAGCCCGCAAACCCCAAACACCACCCCGAAAGTCGCGCCGATGCGGCCGATGCAGCATTAGCCTTGTTTCGAGCAGATCATAGTCCCTAAATGCTCAGCAATGCAGGAGGCAACAGCTACCCGAAATCCGGAAACCCGGACCCAGGTGGTCAGCGATGCGGCGTCTTGTGGCGTGGTGGATAGGTCACCTTCAGCAGGACCTCTGGGGTGTCACGAACAGGCCTGGGGTGAAAGGAGAGGAAAGGTTGAGGGTTTGGGCCGGGGTTTGGACGAGCTCGAAGGTGTTATATCACAGAAAACAAGCTTATGTCGACTTTGCGGCTTAATATCCGTGCCTTTCAGAGTACCCTTACCTTCAAAACCCGAAATCCTGCGCAAACCCTAAACCGTGTCAGGGTGAGTGAACAGCGAGCGAGGAGGGCGAATGTGCGGTGCTCACATGCGTGAAGCTCTGCAGTTTGTTTGACTTTGTGTTTTGAACAGTGCCCACACAAATTCATTGGCAGTACCACAGCGACAGGGCTAACCCGCAGGCCAGCACATTTGCGTGGCAGCAGCGTGGATGGTGCTCCCACCGTCATAGTTGACTCAGCTCTCACCGTCCAGGGCCGGTGTTTTGGTAGAAAGTCACTTTTCAAAGGACCCAAGAGCTCATCTTATCAGACCTGGCGCAAAAACCGTAACGTCTGAGTCTAACCCTGAGCCCTGAGCCCAGTAGCCCAGTCCCGGAGAGCTTCCGAGCTTTTTCCGAAGCTCTGACGGGTAGCAGAGATGGAAGCCGGGCCTGTACAAAGCCCTGAACCCGAAACTTTAAACCCTAAACCCTGGCCTAAACTCCTAAAGCCTTACCCAGAAGGCCTGAACCCTAAACTTTGTAAATCTCCTTTGCCTTGAACCTTGAATTTGATTCCTCAACCCTACACCCTTGTGCGAGTGTGTGAGTCGAAACCCTAAAACCCAAAACAGCCCGAGACCCTAAACCCTAAACCCCAAATCCTAAACCCTAAACCCCAAACCCTAAATCCTAAACCCTAAACCCCAAAACCCTAAACCCCAAAACCCCAAAACAGTTTCAGGCGACGACGGACTGCCCCGGCCTGACTGAGCTCTCCAAAGCCTGTCCGTCGAGCTGTCCCTACGTTGCTCCGCACCCCTACCTCAGCCGCTTGGCTCGGTTAAAGAAGTTCATAGAAGTTCAATATGGGCCGCTATGAGGCTTCAGGTTTCAGGGTTTTAGGGGGGTTTTCAGGGTTTTAGAGTTTTAGAGTTCAAAATCTTGAGCCCGTTGTCTTGCAATTTTGCACCGGGCTAGCAACAATCACTGCGCGAATGTTGCCGCAACGCGTGGGATCACCAAGACCCTGCGATCATTCCAACTGTGTTTGGAGCAGCAGGTTCTTGGCTGTAACAGGTCGGGTGCAGTCGAGGGTTTGAAGGTTGGGAGGGCATAGGAGGAGTCTGCATTACAATTTTGCTACAGTTCACACTCATGCCCAAAAATGCCGTTGATAATGGCACAGATGAAATTTTTACTGGTAGTATCAATAACACTCACAATCTGAACGCTGCTGCAAGGCTAGTTTTTCGAGAGGCACCCACCTGGGTCATAAGAGTTTGACTGAAGGGTTCTATTCGGGCTTTGAAAAGGTTTGATTGACATTCCAGCTCTCTTGCCAGGCTGCGTGTTCGAGTGCGCTTCTGCAGCAAGCTGTTCCAGCGCCAACAACAACCGCGCCTTTCCGCTGCTTGTTTAGCAGGAGAGTCGGACATTTGAGCCTCAAAGATCTTTCTCATACTGCTTGTCGTGGTGACAGTGGCGGTGGCCAAGATGATGGGGATGATCATGATAACGATGAAGGATTACGGACACCCTCAAAGGGGTCTGTTTTCGGACCTTGGTGAGAAGGTGATGTCTTGCTCATGTGGCTAGTATCTTCGTTGCAGCAGCTTCTTGGACTCGGGGTTTATCCTTGGTAGTGTTACCTGCACTCTTGAGACTCTGATGTCGCTCATCATTGCCAGCATCGCTTTGTTTCGTGTCGGTAGCTTACTGCCAGAATTATATACGGCTCGCAGAAATGTTGGAACGGTTACGGTTTGTGGGATGAACCACAGGCGATGCTGGTGCTGCTTGCCAGAACTGCTCGTGTAATTGCTGGTGGCGTGATCTTTCGTCTCGTTTGGCCTTATGTATGATGCCGAAGTTTGCGTTCACGATCCACGTTTCCGAGACAGACTCCTTCCACCGTCTGCCGGGTCTAGCAGGTTAGGGAATCCCGGAGAGCCAATACCTCTACGAGCACACACTGACTGGGAGAAGGAAATGCCAGGCCCCAATCCTGCGATATATATATATATATATATGGCGTCTTTTCCCTGCGGTGCGACTTGGTCAGCGTGGCAAGTTGGAAACTTGACAGGAACAGCAAGAAATCCTGGACACTGCAGTCGTTTTTTGGTGTTGGAACTTCGTCCGGTGCTGTCCGAGCTTGAGATTCTCAGAGTCTGATCACCCATGCAAAACCTAAAGTTCTGTAAGGATCACTGTCAGCTGGGTGGGTGAGAATATAAGGCTCACTTTGAGTCTGCTGTCCGGGTCGCTGTAAGTGTAAGGGTTACTAAGGCTACTAAGGGGTTCTAGAACGGCTACTACACAGGTTTAAGGCTTGGGGTTTGTCTATCAGAATCCCTCCTCGGAGACTACCAGCCCAGGAACAATCGCACCAAGCAGTGCGAGCCTTGTGCAGTGGTAGGATGCAAGCGCTGCGATTCGCAGGCTCGCAGCGGATTGCTCGTGTTTTGGGGCGGGAGTCCTTTCCCGACTGCTTGAATGTGCTACCGTCACAAGCCCTCGCGGATCCTTGCAGCCTTACAGCTGTTCTGTGCCATGGGAGCAGCCTTTTGAGGTTTTCCACTGTCGGGGTGTTTGCAGCAAGGATAAACGGCATTTTGTATAATTGCATGCACCTCTGGATGTGCCACATTGCCTGGTGTTCCGGGTTCCAGTTTTCTCGTTTCATGACACGCGGATTAAAAGCCCGAGGCGCAAAGCCAACCCGAAGCCCTCGAATGAGAAATGCATCAGTCACTTGCATCAGTCACTTGAGATTTGGCAATCACAGCTCCATTGTGTAAGGCAAAATCTTGGGGCCGTACGCAACCCTGAGCGTTAAGTCAACAAGTCACCCATCGCTTGGAGGCAAATTGGCTGCGAAACTGTTGGTCAACCAAGATTCCCTGCAATGCGGGCTTCGTCCTTGCTAGGTAGGAGGGAAAAAACCTCGCCAGGCTTGTCCTAGTCGCGAGTGCTGAAACCCTAAACCTGGCCTAAACCTTAAGTTTTAAAGCCTCTAAGACTAAACCTAAAAAAAAAACTTTTTAAGACCTGAACCCCGAACCCTGCACTCCTTGAGTCCGGAGCGGCAGAGCTTCTCCTGCTGAACCTTGAAGCGCGAAAGCTCACAAATCGCTGCAGTGCTCTAAAGGTCTCTAAAGCATCCCAAGAGTGAGGTTTGGGGCTGGTTTTCTGCCACAGGACACCTGTGCCGAGTGCTTTGACAACTTTTGGCCCGAATTTGGGGGCAGAGTTTGTGCGCCTCGCTTAAATTTTTCATGGCTTCTCTTGCGATGAAGACCAGAATCGGTGGTCATGAGCTGCGTTATTGCTGCTTATTCTCATGCGCTTTGCTGTTGCGACTGTGGTTGTGATGTGAGGGTTGCTCTCGACCATCAGTGTTTGTGTGGGTTGGCTTCTTATGTCTGTGATGATGCTTTGCATAGGTATTGTCATTGCGAGTCCGTGTAGTTCGCTTGCGTCTTATCTTCGTTACCGGCCGAATTGTTATTGCTGTTGTTGCTGTCGATGCGAGGAACCTCCGAACAGTTTCATGTCTTGTGTTTGTTTCCTGCTAGGGTTGTACCATAATCCTACGCACGCAAGTCCCATCCGAATTGTTTATGCGAGCATGGCTGCAACACATGCGGCCTTGCAACATTGAGTTTAATGATGGACGATTGTGGTCATAGACACTTTCGGTTGTTACTATCATCGATATCTCTGCGAACGCCTTTTTCGACATGTTTCAATCAATCGCGTCAGCAACTCATGCCACTCCCTTGTTCGGCCATGTTGACTACGCAAAATCATCCCGATCTGTTGGGAATCCCGGACACCTAGCTGGTAACACAAACCGCAAGCTCACCAACAAAGCACTTATCTCTTTGGAAAAGCAGCTCATTGCTGTCACCCTCTCCGGGCAGCTGCAGGTATTCTTCTCCCAGTATGCAAGAGCTGAGGTTTACGTTTGGGACGATCGCGCCCAGAGCGGCGTCAATGCAGCTTTCTCTTTCGCACTGCTGACTATTCTCCTTGTCTCAGCTGGAGCGCACTTCTCGGTGCTGTAATCTTCGGTGACAGGCTTCTGCTGTGCTTTGCTTGCATGCGAAGCTGACAGTTACTAGTAGTGTACCTTCAATACTATGGAAGGGTCCTTCTCGAGGCTTCCTTGTTGAGTGCGCTGGCTTGCAACTTGAGGAGGTGCTCTCCCTTCCGAACCCCAAATGGGAGTTTCCGAAAATTGGGGGTACCTAATTTTGGGGTCCTTAGAATAAGGATCCTATTATTTCGGGTACTGTATTAGGATCCCCTATTTTTGGAAACCTCAAGAAACCCTCACCGCAAGACCCTGCACTTCTGCGGTAAACGACTCGGAGCAGGAGTCTTTGTGATCGATCGATGCAACTGTTTCGGCCGGTGCCTTCCACAAGAGATCGAAAGCACGGTCAATGAATTAGAGGAGGACGAGGAGCTTTTGCGGCAAAGTTGGAGAACTTCAAATTTTGAGAGATTTCCTTGGTTGTCGAAGTTTTTCGGGCGGATTTGGACAGACGGATTTTGCTTCGGGTTGCGATTGTCAGTTTAGCTACCTGTCGCTCCAAATGCTCGGCGCCCCGCCAGCCTCGTGCCAGGTTTCCGGGAACTGGGTGCCAGGAACTGAAGAGCTCCGATCGCGAACAAATCCTTGTCCTTCGGGCCTGATCAAGCCCAAACCCCGGACAATGAAACCTGCGACATGTGGGTTCAGGGTTTAGGGTTCAGGGTTTAGGGAGTCTGTGCAAAAAGGGTTCAGGGTCCCTGAACCCCGAACGATGTGGGCATGTGGGGAGGAAGATGCCCTCGTCCGTGTACAGCGTGATTGTAGCTTGTCCAAGTTTGACACACAAGGCGGGGCGAGCGAGCGAGCCCGGGTTCTTGTTAAATGATTCAGTTTAAGTCTTTACAATAAGGAAACCAGATTATTTGCTATAGATCCCTTTTTTTTTATGGTAGCTTGATTTGAGTTCCTTAACAAGAACCCTGAAGTGTGATCCGTGAGAATGAGGCTTTCCAGGTGGCAGCTTTGGAAGCTTGAACTTTCCTTTCAGGTCCAGTAGAGTCATCTGTTCATACATAGACAATATGAAACTGTGAGGTGGTTTAATCACACCCAGGTCATAGCAGATATTCTAGAAGGTGAAGTTCGCAGCTCCAATGTTTCGGTCTTTGGTGCGGCGGTACACCGGCTTTGGAATATGGTGGGTTTCTCGAGGCTTCACTGTTTTCGTGACCACGGGCTGGACAGTAGGATGCGATGCCGCTGGCAGATGTTCATCTTCTGAGTGGAATGTTTCAACTTGTCTGCTCTTTTCTTTTCATGCGCACGCCCGGCAGGCCACACTGAAGAGGCCGTGGAGATCGATGATTATGACACCACACTTATGGCGATCAACCAGGGGAAGCTCCACCGATTGCGATGCAAGGTCGCTCTTCTATCCCCACTTATGCGAATCCACAGTCACACAACCTTCGCTTCATCTTGGGGTGCCTACTCAGAGACTCCAATACCCTTTAATTAAGGAATATACCTTAAATTATAGTAGGATCCCAAATATGATTTAAGGAATATTCCTCAATTAAGGGATATTGGAGTCTCTGGGTACTCAGACCACGCATGTCTTGCTGCTCTATATCAAACCAGCGCGTCCAAAATCCCGGACTCTGGACCGAGTTGCAACAGTCAGGCAAACCTCGAGCGCCGAAATCGCCAGAACCCCAAGCCCCAAGTCCCAAATCCTAAATCCCAAGCCCCAAGTCCCAAATCCTAAATCCCAAGCCCCAAGTCCCAAATCCTAAATCCCAAGCCCCAGATGCTTATCAAACCCCATAGAGAATTGAAAGAACCCTCGTGATATCTTGACAAACCCTCCAGCTTCAGCCACACAGCCCTGAGGGATATCCCCTGTGACCGTCCAGCATCGAAGTAAGAGGCCGTAAAGCCTTATCACATCCCAGAATAGCCGTCCAGCGTGCTCCAAATCAGAGGCTCTAGACCTCTAAACCACTCCTAAACCCTAAACCCCTAAACCCTAAAACCCTAAACCCCTAAACCCTACCTAGACCCCTAAACCCTAAACCCTAAACCCCTAAACCCCTAAACCCTAAAACCCCCATGAAATCACAGCCAAAACCTCCGAGAGCCCACAGGTAAAGAACCTGGAGCCGCACCGCACGGCCGGGATGCGCCACTCACAAAGCCTCCTGAGCCACATGGAGCGGCAGCAGGTGGTGCAGGACTTGTACTTGGAGGGTCGGGGGACTTAGTAACTAGTTATTTTATAGAGTTATAAGTACCATAACCCCAATTAGGATCCCTATTAAGGTACTCATAACTCTTTATACTAACTACTTACTAAGTCCCATGATCCTCCAAGTAGGGGGTTTGAGGGGTTAGGAGACTCGAAAGGCTTTTGTTTCCTTTAGAAGCTTCCTTACAAGGGTCCCAGGGGTCTTGGGGGATGGACTCGAAGCTTTTTTTGTGATAGTGGACTCAATATTCGGCTGGTCGTGTGCTGCGGCTGTTTGTAGTGTTACTCTGAGTGACTACACGTAACACTTTTGGGGAGAAGCATTCTACAGTGTTCTACAAGTGTTCCTATTATGTTCTCCTATGGTTGATGATATCAATCCTGCATTACCCATAATAAGGAATATACCATAATTTCCACAGTTTAGGGTCCTTAAGGTAATGCAGGATTTATATCATCAACCGTCGTTTTCTTTTCTTCTTCGGCCATCAGCTCCCGGATACTGACAGTAACCGGTCCCTCCGCTGCGAGAGATCGCGGTTCCGATTTGACCAAGAGGACCCAGAGACTCCAATATCCCTTGATTAAGGAATATTCCTTAAATTATAGTAGGGATCCTACTATAATTTAAGGTATATTCCTTAATTAAGGGGTATTGGAGTCTCTGAGGACTAGGACTGTCGGAGTGGCTCCCCAGAAACAGAGCGACTGAGCTTCGAAAGCTTGCCTGGGGTTGAGGGTATGAAGGGAGTTGTTGTGCCGTGACGGCAGAAAGGGAATGAAGTAAGGGTTGAGGGTTCAGGGCTTATTTGGGAGCGCTGCTCATGCCTTTGGAGAAAGGGAGGGAGGGCCAGTAAATCCTAAACTCTAATCCTAACAAATCGAGAAGTGTACCGAAGCCCCAATCGTGCTGAGAACGAAGGGAGACCTCCGGAAGGGACCTCCACCCGAAGCAGTGTTTGCCGAGATTGCAGGCGAGCTTTCAAACCCGCCTTCTTTGTGAGGATTTCTGGTGCTGTAACCCCCAACCCCCAACCCCCTGCCGCCTGCTCCCTTGTTGCTTTCAACCACAGGAGGCCAGACAAAAAGCGAGTAGGCCGTTTCAGTGGAAATGCTCAAGAGCCCCAGCTACGCCTTGTTTTGTTGACAGCTCGGGCTTTCAGGACTCAACATCCGCGACGCTGCTGGGACGTTTCAAAAATGTGCACTTCGGCGTGCTGCAGCCGCAGGGAGGTTTGGGGCGGAGGATCGTGCATGCTTCAAGAGCTACTGCTGAAGGCACTCTCCAACTCCGTTCGCACGTTCTTCGATTGATCTGGACTAGATGCGCCCTCCTGCATGTTGAAAGCAAGCCGATCCCCGAACCACGCACACTCTCCCTTGTGCAGCCATGATAGCTATGTCGGCTCGTCAAGCATTGCAGCCTCCATCAGCGAGAGCGTAAAACCCTAAACCCTAAATCCTAAACCCGAAAAACCCACCGTTTCCAGGTCGACCTCCACAAGAAGTTCCTGGTGGGTGTCGGCCTACCACTCTTCCACCAGCCGCGCGGACCATCAAGGTCCTAAGTTCAGCGTTGAGGGCTTAAGGCTTTGGCCTGACCCCGAAACCTAAGCCTTTAGTCCTACTCGTGCGAGTGTGGGAGTCGAGACCCTAGACCTGTCCCTAGACATCTCTGAGCCCTAAGCCCTGAATCTGCGCAGACAGAGGGATTATGTTTGATTTTTTGGAAGGCGGGGTACATGACCGCTTTCTACCGTCTGCTTCGGTGCACGCCCAAAATCCAGGGTTCTGTAAGGGTCACGTTAAGGCTACTATCAAGACTCGAAACAGAAGCTCAAGACCCATAGCAAAAAGCACCGAGGTGGCACCTGTTCTTGATTCTGTACAGCTTGATCATGTGTGCCGGGCTGCTTGGAGTCGAGGTTAATTGCTGAGGGTTTAGGCTTGAGGCTTGAGGGATAATAATGAGGAGGTAAGGTAAGGGTTCAATGCTTAGCCTTGTTGAGGGAAGGCAACTTGCAGAGGGAGGCGGCAAAGACTTTCGCCTCTTGTAGCATGATTCCCCTGATGCAGGTTGTCCCTCTAAATTTTTGAAAAAGACCTCAAGCCTGGAATATGATACCTGAAAGGGCGGGGGCCTAATCTAAAATGTGGATGAAGTGGATTGGATTTCTGCTTACCTGTCTGGCTCCTTGCAAAGTCGCTGCTTCGTTCTTTGCAAGTGTTGGGTCACCCACTACTGAGCTCGCCGGACCGTGCCAGAACCAGAAAAGTACATATACCCTTGACGGTCCCCGGATGTGGCTCAAATATAGTACACCCCCAATGCCGTGCTCTGGCTAGGGCCCCTACGTTATGCCAGAGCCAGATGCAGCCCAGACTCAAAGCGAGCCTGGAAGCTTGCATCCGTAATTCAAGAGAGTAGATCCCTAGGGGTTACCTCAACCCGGAATAACCTACCCTGTTAAGGACATATATAAGGAAACCATAATAAGGAACCCTAAAAAGGTAGGTTCTTCAGGGTCTAGGTACATCCTAATTTCAGGTAGGGCCCGAAAAGAAAGGGTGCTTACAAAAAGGGCATTGGCCTCGGTTCAGAACTGTTGGTTGGGGGTGTTGAGGGGGATCATGGCAGCAAGGACTGCGTGGATCTACTTGGGATCAACGCTCAGCGGGCAGCTGATGCGCACCGGCTTAGACCACGTGAGCCACATCAGCGAGAGCGAGGAGAATGCCCCCCGGCCGAAAGGTAACCAATGTGGGGGGTTCTGAGAAGCAGGGCTTTTGAGGAGGCCTGGCTGCGAAAGGGGTCCCTTCACATTTTGGCTCTTGCTGTTGAGGGCCCATGCAAGAGTCGATACTTTCTGAACCGGCAGCCGCCGCGCCATTTCGGTGGGACGAAGGTAAGTAAGATCTCTTGTAAAGGGCATATTGGCTCTGAATTCGGACTTGGGGATCATCCCACCTAGCTTCATCCCACCTTTGGAGCCGTGTGAAGGAATCAATCTTATAAACAAATCCCGGCCACTTCTCGGATTCTGTGTGCGTGCTTAAGTGGCAAAGATGCTGTTGTGTGAGCTTTGTCTATCTAATATCTCTCTCTTACTCTCTCTCTGTCTGTCTGTCTGTCTGTCTGTCTGTCTGTCTGTCTGTCTGTCTGTCTGTCTGTCTGTCTGTCTGTCTGTCTGTCTGTCTGTCTGTCTGTCTGTCTGTCTGTCTGTCTGTCTGTCTGTCTTTCTGTCTGTCTGTCTGTCTGTCTGTCTGTCTGTCTGTCTGTCTGTCTGTCTGTCTGTCTGTCTGTCTGTCTGTCTGTCTGTCTGTCTGTCTGTCTGTCTGTCTGTCTCGTCTGTCTGTCTGTCTGTCTCTGTCTCTCTCTCTCTCTCTCTCTCTCTCTCTCTCTCTCTCTCTCTCTCTCTCTCTCTATATATATATATATGTACATACACATGTGGGAGGTGCGGTCCCTGATTTTTGAACTTTCCACCTTGTGCTTTTCAGGAGCCCCCATCATTAACAGCGCAGTCTGCCAAACATGACTCTTCCAATCATCGTTTGACCTGCGCTCTGCAAAATGGAAACCTTCTTTTAGATCCTAAAACACTGTAGCATGACAGCCATAGCACCCTGAAGCCTCCGACCCCCCGACCCAAAGCCTTCCATGGACAGTTAGCAATCAATTACGCAAGCTTCTAAGTCCTCCTATCATACCTCGCTTGTGGACATTTTTTCCAGCCGTGCGAGAGGGCAAGAAAAGGCGTTCCATGGTTTAAATGCGGACCCTTCCAATGTTAAGCTCTTCAAACCTGTAAACGAATGTGACCCTAACTGGCTGACTCTCGGCCAAGTGGGTGAAAGCGCTCAATGCAGCACAAGACACCCTAAGCCCTGAAACCCAAACCATAAACCCTAAGCAGACGGAAAAGTAAGGGGACATTGAAAATAAAACCAAAGCCTGAGGCCTAAACCCTACACCCTGAACCCTGCCATGGCAGACAGATCAAGAAGGACGTCAACCCAACTTGAAAAAAGAAAGGAACCCTACCATGCCTTTCACTGCACTGTCTTTCGCCGAGGCCATGGCGCTCTGTGGTTTGCCTCTCGCTAGTGAGAAGTACTTTCCGGCATTAGTTTGAGTTGTTGTTAAGGAATCTTTTTATCAGCTACCAGAATAAGGAAACCATACCATATATATAGTATATAAGTATATACATCCCCATTATGGTAAGTTAAACTAAAGTCCTTAACAAGAACCTAGTAACCTGAACTTGAAAGGAGGGTTGTTTTTGGTACAGATCCACCCAATAAACAGATGGGTCGGTTGGCAGATTCCCCGTCCTTTCAACTCCCTTCGTGCGGACGATCGGCCGAAGAAGGGGCGGGCGGCTTTTGTTTTGTGCTGCAAATCTTCCTTTGCGTGCGTAGTGGTAGTGGTAGTGGCAGTATCAATGACAGTAGTAGTCGCACTAGCAGTAGCAGGACGAGAGGGAGGAGGAGGAGGAGGAGGAGGAGGAGGAGGAGGAGGAGGAGCAGCAGCAGCAGCAGCAGCAGCAGCAGCCGCTGCAGCCCATGAGCACGACCAAAAGTAACGATGTCGAAGGTGATCATGGCGGTTGTGGTTGTCGTTACATGACAGGAGACGAGGTAGCCGTAGACCTCCCCGCCCAGGAACGCGCAGCAGAACCATCTAGGTTGGGCGACACAGGACTCGGCTGGGTTTTCAGGGTCGCGAGGCTGTGGTATTGGGTCTTTCCGGCTTCCCTTTGCTTGCAGCCGTTTGAGCCCGTGCTTCTCTGTAGGCTTGTGCACACCACAACTTGTGTGAGCTGGCCACATGTGATCCCAATTCTGTCTCTCGCCCACGCTACCTGAAACGACTGGGCCGAGCCAGTGCGTCCAACTTGGCCCACCTCCTCTCCATTTCATGGTGTGTGGATGTGATCTTCCCACCGATCGAGCATACGCAGAAGCTTGACACCCTTGTTTTGGACAAGGGGCCATCGTCAGGTGATGGCAGGTGGCTTATTTAATGTGTACACACACATATGTATATATATATATGTATATATATATATATCTATGTATATATTCTATAATGTGAGCTAAGATGACAATCCTGACCAAGCCCCAAAATTGGAGATGTGAAGCTCGCGAGCTTGTTCCGGCAAGAGAGCTTACTCCAAAAATCCGAGAACTTGCCACAAGAATCCCTGACAAATAGTATTCCACAGGCCCATGAGGGGAAGTGGCTGGCCATGTAAACAGCATCTGTACGTGAGGGGCTTGCTGTAGGCTTGTCAGTTCAAGCCGTGCATCGTGGAGCGTCAATAGAACTCATCAGGGGGTGCTTGAGCACGGCGTCTGATCTCCTCTGAGATCTCAAGTTGCATGCAAGTTGCACCTTGCCTCTTTGTTGCTATGGGCTGTTCCGAGAACGCTCCTGCCCGGGTCTCAGTACAGGTTCAAAGAGCCATTCCGCGAGTTGGACTTCCTGTGTATCGATCGATTACATTGTAAGTAGCCGTCGGGGCTGCTTGCAACCCCAACCAACCATCACATGCTTGCTCAGCCTCCCTGGTTACTTGTAAACTGTACACTCATTGGAGCGATGAGGAAGGTAGAGCGCAAGTTTGCTCCTTTAGCTCAGAAGCCCGAATGTTTCATCAACTGCCAGCCACGGCTCAAGCTGGCTCTCGAGGCACCGCGACGCGGGTGCCCTTCTTTTTCCAGTGAAAAGCGACACTCATGTACCAGATCTTGGTCGGTCTATTCCTCGCAGCCGTTGTGCTGCCATCTGCCTGTGACGAAGCTGCGCTGAGCGCAGACGATCAGTGCAACGAGGGGCAGGAATGCGCTCTCAGTGCATTACAGTCAAAAGCTCAGGCTCGCAGCATGACACCAACTTTGCCAGTTACGAGTGAGAAGGCTTCAGATGAGGGGATGTTTCCGCCAGCTCAAGCCAACGTCTATGCCGTGAACAAGACCGCCCTGCCTTGGAAGGATGGATCACTGAACTCCCCCAGTGGCTCCCCCCTCTTGACCTTCTACATGTACCGTGCAGTGTCAGACGAAGTCTACCCGCCTTTGAACACCAATGTTGCCAGCTTGCCGGGTGTCCTGTGGTATCTCCACCATGAGGTCGTCATTCAAGCTCCCCGCAAGTTCCAAATCACGCGCATCCTGCGCTACAAAGTGCAGATGCGCGCAACCGCACCGCTGCTTCGGCTTGGAATGCACTTCGGAGTGCGACTTGCCTACGACAAGGGGCAAGCCACAGGCCCATTTGTGTGTGGGCGCACGAACATCACGAGCAAGGATGGAACCACAGCAGGTTACAAGCCGAAGTTCTGTGGTGATGCTGCTGCATTCGCGGATAGGTATCTCGAAGATATCAAGCCGTACAAGAACGAGTACGAGTATGCCGCCTATGGCTACAACGTCGGCTGCAACAATCTTGGTGAGTATCCCTTCCCCATGCACCCGGTGTACTACGAGAATGCCATCTGGTATACCATGCCTGGCCCTTGTCCGAACAACCTCTACTACAACAAGGACAACTCCTGTCAGGCCAGCCAACCAGGAGGCTACTGCCCAGGTCGGGGTAGTTCTCTAAAGTTGGGTCCTTTCAGGGTCCTTCTTATAAGGGTGCCGCCTTCGCCTGATTTTGGGTTCCAAAAGCGGGTGGGGTTCTCTAAATTGGGTCCCTTCTAGGGTCCTTTTTTTCAGGGTGCCGCCTTCGCCTGCTTTTGGGTTCCGAAAAGCGGGACCTGAATTTAGAGAACTTGGGCAGGTGTCGAGCCGAATGGTAACGGCACGTGTACCTGGAACTACGAAGAAGCCGGGGAGATCAGTCTCGATGAGTTGGTGGGCATCAAGGACTACGACTCTTGGAAGCATGGCCACCGGGAGTATGATCCGGAAACCGATGAGGGCGTGAAGTTCAGTTGGTGGAATGGAATTAACAGCACCTCTGCCAACGAGGAACGTGTGCGACAGGCTTCTGAGCTTTTTGACAAGAAGTACCCAACCATGCCGACAGTTGCCGAGCTTACCAACCCCCCATGCGACTTCGACTTCGGCTACTTCTACAAGGAGTGGTACCGAAAGGACGGCTACAGCGGACCCTGCGGACCTCCCAATGCAAAATGCAAGGGTGGAATCTGGGTTCTTGTTTAAGGAGTTTAGTTTTATAGGGATCTAGAGTACATAATTAATCTGGTTTCCTTGTAATGAACTGAAATTAAATCCCTTAACAAGAACCCAGGAATTGGCTGGATTCGCCACGACGGCCTCAAGCAGCATCCGAAGTGGTACGTTCCCCTCACCACTTCTGCCAGCGATGATGACATCCAGCGCTTGCTGTACCAGCTAGGAAAGAACGAGTGCTTGCGTCCGTGTGAAAACGGTGAGACGCCTACCGCGTCTACACCCAGCACGAAAGCTTCATGAGACCTTTCTTCATCTGGAGCATCGCCTGGAGAGTGCGGCTTGTGAGAGTGGAGGCCACCTAAAGTTCCTAAAGAAACCTACAGCCTTCTTGAAGCAGTGAGGCGAGACTTGGTGAAGAGATTCGTATGAACAATGGAATGAACACCGGTAAGAGTACGAATAGTAGTAGCAGATGACAGCGGAAACTGTTGGAAAGAGCTTCGTGTGTTTCTTGCAGAAATTGCCAAGTCTTGCCTTGTCCCGCAAGTCGAAGGGATCCGGACACCATTCCACGGGTGAGCAGGAAGGCTTCGTATCGGGCCCGGAAGTCTACAGTGAGTCGGATT